AGGTGTGTATTGTGTATATGTTGTGTAAGGTGTGTATGATGTATATGTTGTGTAAAGTGTGTATGGTGTATATTTTGTGTAAGGTGTGTATGGTGTATATGTTGTGTAAGGTGTGTATTGTGTATATGTTGTGTAAGGTGTGTATGGTGTATATGTTGTGTAAGGTGTGTATGGTGTATATGTTGTGTAAGGTGTGTATGGTGTATATGTTGTGTAAGGTGTGTATGGTGTATATGTTGTGTAAGGTGTGTATGGTGTATATGTTGTGTAAGGTGTGTATGGTGTATATGTTGTGTAAGGTGTGTATGGTGTATATGTTGTGTAAGGTGTGTATGGTGTATATGTTGTGTAAGGTGTGTATGGTGTATATGTTGTGTAAGGTGTGTATGGTGTATATGTTGTGTAAGGTGTGTATGGTGTATATGTTGTGTAAGGTGTGTATGGTGTATATGTTGTGTAAGGTGTGTATGGTGTATATGTTGTGTAAGGTGTGTATGGTGTATATGTTGTGTAAGGTGTGTATGGTGTATATGTTGTGTAAGGTGTGTATGGTGTATATGTTGTGTAAGGTGTGTATGGTGTATATGTTGTGTAAGGTGTGTATGGTGTATATGTTGTGTAAGGTGTGTATGGTGTATATGTTGTGTAAGGTGTGTATGGTGTATATGTTGTGTAAGGTGTGTATGGTGTATATGTTGTGTAAGGTGTGTATGGTGTATATGTTGTGTAAGGTGTGTATGGTGTATATGTTGTGTAAGGTGTGTATGGTGTATATGTTGTGTAAGGTGTGTATGGTGTATATGTTGTGTAAGGTGTGTATGGTGTATATGTTGTGTAAGGTGTGTATGGTGTATATGTTGTGTAAGGTGTGTATGGTGTATATGTTGTGTAAGGTGTGTATGGTGTATATGTTGTGTAAGGTGTGTATGGTGTATATGTTGTGTAAGGTGTGTATGGTGTATATGTTGTGTAAGGTGTGTATGGTGTATATGTTGTGTAAGGTGTGTATGGTGTATATGTTGTGTAAGGTGTGTATGGTGTATATGTTGTGTAAGGTGTGTATGGTGTATATGTTGTGTAAGGTGTGTATGGTGTATATGTTGTGTAAGGTGTGTATGGTGTATATGTTGTGTAAGGTGTGTATGGTGTATATGTTGTGTAAGGTGTGTATGGTGTATATGTTGTGTAAGGTGTGTATGGTGTATATGTTGTGTAAGGTGTGTATGGTGTATATGTTGTGTAAGGTGTGTATGGTGTATATGTTGTGTAAGGTGTGTATGGTGTATATGTTGTGTAAGGTGTGTATGGTGTATATGTTGTGTAAGGTGTGTATGGTGTATATGTTGTGTAAGGTGTGTATGGTGTATATGTTGTGTAAGGTGTGTATGGTGTATATGTTGTGTAAGGTGTGTATGGTGTATATGTTGTGTAAGGTGTGTATGGTGTATATGTTGTGTAAGGTGTGTATGGTGTATATGTTGTGTAAGGTGTGTATGGTGTATATGTTGTGTAAGGTGTGTATGGTGTATATGTTGTGTAAGGTGTGTATGGTGTATATGTTGTGTAAGGTGTGTATGGTGTATATGTTGTGTAAGGTGTGTATGGTGTATATGTTGTGTAAGGTGTGTATGGTGTATATGTTGTGTAAGGTGTGTATGGTGTATATGTTGTGTAAGGTGTGTATGGTGTATATGTTGTGTAAGGTGTGTATGGTGTATATGTTGTGTAAGGTGTGTATGGTGTATATGTTGTGTAAGGTGTGTATGGTGTATATGTTGTGTAAGGTGTGTATGGTGTATATGTTGTGTAAGGTGTGTATGGTGTATATGTTGTGTAAGGTGTGTATGGTGTATATGTTGTGTAAGGTGTGTATGGTGTATATGTTGTGTAAGGTGTGTATGGTGTATATGTTGTGTAAGGTGTGTATGGTGTATATGTTGTGTAAGGTGTGTATGGTGTATATGTTGTGTAAGGTGTGTATGGTGTATATGTTGTGTAAAGTGTGTATGGTGTATATGTTGTGTAAGGTGTGTATGGTGTATATGTTGTGTAAAGTGTGTATGGTGTATATGTTGTGTAAGGTGTGTATGGTGTATATGTTGTGTAAGGTGTGTATGGTGTATATGTTGTGTAAGGTGTGTATGGTGTATATGTTGTGTAAGGTGTGTATTGTGTATATGTTGTGTAAGGTGTGTATGGTGTATATGTTGTGTAAGGTGTGTATTGTGTATATGTTGTGTAAGGTGTGTATGGTGTATATGTTGTGTAAGGTGTGTATTATGTATATGTTGTGTAAGGTGTGTATTGTGTATATGTTGTGTAAGGTGTGTATTGTGTATATGTTGTATAAGGTGTGTATGGTGTATATGTTGTATAAGGTGTGTATGCTGTATATGTTGTGTAAGGTGTGTATGGTGTATATAATGTGTAAAGTGTGTTTTGTGTATATGTTGTGTAAGGTGTGTATGCTGTATATGTTGTGTAAGGTGTGTATGGTGTATATAATGTGTAAAGTGTGTTTTGTGTATATGTTGTGCAAGGTGTGTTTTGTGTATATGTTGTGTAAGGTGTGTATGGTGTATATGTGTATGTGTGTAATGATGTATATGCTTGGAAGATCAGGCTTACATTACATTCTGTATTATTTTATATTATATACTGCATATTTGTAAATAAAATATTGTTTAAACTAATCATGTTTATGATGTGTATGGTGTGTATGTTATATATAGTATGTATGAATTGTTTGTATACAATATTTGATGTGAAGTATCATCTTTCTGGATCCCCAATCTGATGGGTGTGGTAAAAAAAGAAGGAATTATTTCAAGGAATAAAAAGAAGAGCATTAATGAAAGAAAGCATGCTGTAACTACCGGGACACATTGAGTGGAGTAGCATGCATGCACATACATTTACTTCAACTATTCAATCGACTTCCTCAGGTTTTCCTCGGTTTTATCCCAAAAACTATCATGTAGTCACTTTAATATTTTAAGCAATTAAAAATATGCGAAAAGAAATTTTGGAATATTTTATACAAATAATGTATATTGTGCTAGTCTTTCCTTTGATTTATTAAAAGCCAAAACATACCATTTTCTATGCTGTTAAAGATCCCTTTTATATATTGTGGTAAAAATCCCTTTTTTTATAAACAGTGGCAAAATATTACTCCTTATATACAGCTGGTCAAACTACCATTTATATACGCTGGTAAAAAATCCACTTTTTTATAAAGTGGCAAAAATATTACTCCTAATACAGCAGGTCAAACTATAATTTATATATTGTGTTAAATATCCCTTTTATATCAAAAAGTAGTAAAATATAACTCTTTATATACAACATGTCAAACTATCATTTATATATGGTGGTAAATATCCCTTTTTATAAACAGTGGTAAAATATTACTCCTTATATACAGCAGGTCAAACTATCATTTATATACGCTGGTAAAAAATCCACTTTTTTATAAAGTGGCAAAAATATTACTCCTAATACAGCAGGTCAAACTATAATTTATATATTGTGTTAAATATCCCTTTTATATCAAAAAGTAGTAAAATATAACTCTTTATATACAACATGTCAAACTATCATTTATATATGGTGGTAAATATCCCTTTAATATAAAAAATGGTAAAATCTAACTCTTTATATGCAGCAGGTCAAACTATCATTTATATATGGTGGTAAAAATCCCTTTTTTATAAACAGTGGTAAAATATTACTCTTTATATACAGCAGGTCAAACTATCATTTATATATTGTGTTAAATATCCCTTTTATATCAAAAAGTTGTAAAATATAACTCTTTATATACAGCATGTCAAACTACCATTTATATATGGTGGTAAATATCCCTTTTATATAAACAAGAATTCCACGGAAGTGGATCGATGTGTCGCCTGCGCAGGAAGCTGGGAGATTGTGCTTAGCACTGCATGAAGTTTGAGTTTGATCGGCCCAAGGAAACTCAAGTTATCGCACGAAAACAGATTTTCTATTTATAGTAACAGTGACCTTGACCTTTGACCTTCGGACCTGAAAAGCAATCCCAAGCAAGCACTTTTGGTAAGGAAGCACTGCATGAAGTTTGAGTTTGATCGGCCCAAGGAAACTCAGGTTATCTAACGAAAACAGATTTTCTATTTATAGTAACAGTGACCTTGACCTTTGACCTTCGGACATGAAAAGCAATCCCAAGCAAGCACTTTTGGTAAGGGAGCACTGCATGAAGTTTGAGTTTGATTGGCCCAAGGAAACTCAAGTTATCGCACGAAAACCTCTGTTTGGACGACGACGCCGACATAGCAATACCTATGTGTCACCAGCTTTTCGCAGGCGACACAAAAATGGTAAAATATAACTTTTTATATGCAGCAGGTCAAACTATCATTTAGATATGGTGTTAAATATCCCTTTTTTATCAAAAAGTTGTAAAATATAACTCTTTATATACATCATGTCAAACTACCATTTATATATGGTGGTAAATATCCCTTTTATATAAAAAATGGTAAAATATAACTCTTTATATGCAGCAGGTCAAACTATCATTTATATATGGTGGTAAAAATCCCTTTTTTATAAACAGTGGCAAAAACATTATTGTTAAAATATAGCAGGCAAAACTATCTAGGGTGATAAACATTTCTTTAGATAAATGGTTGTAATGAGTTGTTAAATATATAACTACTTCTGTATGGTGGTTAAACAAAACTATGTATGGTGATAGTCATTCCTATTTATATATCTGGTAAAACAATATTGTTAATATGAGGTAGTGAAACATAACTGTATTTATATTTGATTTTATAGTATCATCTAAAGTATGTTGGTAAAAGAGTACAATTTAGATATGGGGGAAATTATTATTATTATCTAGATATAGTGGTAAATATAAGCATTACATTTTGTATTTAAAAAAAAAATCATATACCTGTTAAATCTTAGAATAAATGAACTTCAAGTTGAGACCCAGACATTTTACAAACCTCCTGAGGAGTTGATGTCCATATCACATGGCCGTGTGTCCACCACATACAAATCCTCATTACGCACACAGGCTGCACGCTTCATTTTACATTCGTTCTCGTAAGTTTTTCGGTCACTGGCACACACAGGCTCTAGAGTGCGAGGACATGTAAGCGGGCAAACACAGGTCCCATTTTCACACCTTGCACCAAAATTACACGTTGTCCCCTTGCATAGTTCTGAAAATTACATAAAGGAAGTCTAAATACAATAGACATAAACAAAAGTGGCATAAAGGGCCTGAATCACTCATCTGGATCTTATGCCCTTCAATGGTATACATGTATATGGCTATGGGTTCAGGATCTCAACACATTCAAAGTTTTGGCCCAGGAATGAAGTCCCTAGGACCCACAATAGTCAGTACTAATATCATAGTTGTGTTGGACTCTTGATGCCCAGCAATGGTATACATGGTTATATGGGGTCGGGATCTCTACTGTCTCAAAGTTATGACCCAATAATTAAGTCCCTAAATCTAGAGGTGGAACCAGACCCCAGGGTCAATTATTAAATATGACTGTGTTTATCTCTTTATGCCTATCAAATATGTATATAGTTATGGGATTGGAATCTAAACTGTTTAAAAGTTACAGCTTAGGATTTAAGTCCCTAGGGGTAGGACTAAACCTGAGCAGATTTAAATCTCTAGAGGTAGGACTAGACCCGAGCAGATTTAAGTCCCTAGGGGTAGGGCTAGACCCGAGCAGATTTAAGTCCCTAGAGGTAGGGCTAGACCCGAGCAGATTTAAGTCCCTAGGGGTAGGGCTAGACCCGAGCAGATTTAAGTCCCTAGAGGTAGGGCTAGAACCAAGCAGATATAAGTCCCTAGAGGTAGGGCTAGACCAGAGCAGATATAAGTCCCTAGAGGTAGGGATAGACCCGAGCAGATTTAAGTCCCTAGGGTTAGGACTAGACCTGAACAGATTTAAGTCCCAAGAGGTAGGGCTAGACCTGAGCAGATTTAAGTCCCTAGAGGTAGGGCTAGAACCAAGCAGATATAAGTCCCTAGAGGTAGGGCTAGAACCGAGCAGATATAAGTCCCTAGAGGTAGGGCTAGACCCGAGCAGATTTAAGTCCCTAGGGGTAAGGCTAGACCAGAGCAGATTAAGTCCCTAGGGGTAGGGCTAGACCTGAGCAGATTTAAGTCCGTAGAGGTAGGGCTAGAACCAAGCAGATATAAGTCCCTAGAGGTAGGGCTAGACCCGAGCAGATTTAGACCCTAGGGGTAGGGCTAGACCCGAGCAGATTTAAGTCCCTAGGGGTAGGGCTAGACCCGAGCAGATTTAGTCCCTAGGGGTAGGGCTAGACCAGAGCAGATTAAGTCCCTAGGGGTAGGGCTAGACCTGAGCAGATTTAAGTCCCTAGAGGTAGGGCTAGAACCGAGCAGATTTAAGTCCCTAGAGGTAGGGCTAGAACCAAGCAGATATAAGTCCCTAGAGGTAGGGCTAGACCCGAGCAGATTTAGACCCTAGGGGTAGGGCTAGACCCGAGCAGATTTAAGTCCCTAGGGGTAGGGCTAGACCCGAGCAGATTAAGTCCCTAGGGGTAGGGCTAGACCCGAGCAGATTAAGTCTCTAGGGGTAGTGCTAGACCCGAGCAGATTTAAGTCCCTAGGGGTAGGGCTAGACCCGAGCAGATTAAGCCTCTAGGGGTAGGGCTAGACCTGAGCAGATTAAGCCCCGAGGGGTAGGGCCAGACCCGAGCAGATTAAGTCCCTAGGGGTAGGGCTAGACCCGAGCAGATTTAGACCCTAGGGGTAGGGCTAGACCCGAGCAGATTTAGTCCCTAGGGGTAGGGCTAGACCCGCGCAGATTTAGTCCCTAGGGGTAGGGCTAGACCCGAGCAAATTTAGTCCCTAGGGGTAGGGCTAGACTCGAGCAGATTAAGTCCCTAGGGGTAGGACTAGACCCGAGCAGATTAAGTCCCTAGGGGTAGGGCTAGAACCGAGCAGATATAAGTCCCTAGAGGTAGGGCTAGAACCAAGCAGATATAAGTCCCTAGGGGTATGGCTAGACCAGAGCAGATTAAGTCCCTAGGGGTAGGGCTAGACCCGGGCAGATTTAAGTCCCTAGAGGTAGGGCTAGAACCGAGCAGATATATGTCCCTAGGGGTATGGCTAGACCAGAGCAGATTAAGTCCCTAGGGGTAGGGCTAGACCCGAGCAGATTAAGTTCCTAGGGGTAGGGCTAGACCCGAGCAGATTAAGTCCCTAAGGGTAGGGCTTAACCCGAGCAGATTAAGTCCCTAGGGGTAGGGCTAGACCCGAGCAGATTAAGGCCCTAAGGGTAGGGCTTAACCCGAGCAGGTTAAGTCCCTAGGGGTAGGGCTAGACCCGAGCAGGGGGGGGGGGGGGGGAATTAGTTATTCAGGACAAGTTGCATTTTAAAAGAAAAGTTGATGGATGAATGACATATACTGCACCATGGGATAAGCTCACTTGCCCTTTAAGCAGGTGAGCTAAAGAACAATCCAATTTGTTATAGACAATTTTAGTTTAATGTTCATGATTGTAGACAATCAATATTGCCTAAAAAATGTTCTAAATATTTTAATTGTCCATGTCCATTTTCCCTCATGAAATACAATCAAAGACCTTTCAGTATGGAGGCCACAATTACTTACCATATTACCTCTATTGACGCCACAATCACTTACCACACTCCACTATGGAGGCCAAAATCACTTACCATATTACCTCTATTGACGCCACAATCACTTACCACACTCCACTATGGAGGCCACAATTATTTACCATATTACCTCTATTGACACCACAATCACTTACCATATTACCTCTATGGAGGCCACAATTACTTACCAGATTACCTCTATTGACGCCACAATCACTTACCACATTCCACTATGGTGGCCACAATTACTTACCATATTAGCTCTATTGATGCCACAATCGCTTACCATGTTACCACTATGGAGGCCACAATTACTTCCCATATTACCTCTATTGACGCCACAATCACTTACCACACTCCACTATGGTGGCCACAATTACTTACCATATTACCTCTATTGATGCCACAATCGCTTACCATGTTACCACTATGGAGGCCACAATTACTTACCATATTACCTCTATTGATGCCCCAATCGCTTACCATGTTACCACTATGGAGGCCACAATTACTTACCATATTCCCTCTATTGACGCCACAATCACTTACCATATTACCTCTATGGAGGCCACAATTACTAACCACACTACACTATGTATGCCACAATTACTTACTACACTCCTCTATTGATGCCACAATTACTTACCATGCTCACATATATGGACCTTTATTACTTACCACAAATAGCTCCATTAGGGAGGCTACAATTACTTACCACACTCCTGTATGAAGGACACATTTGCTTACTACACTCCTCTATGGATGTCAATATTGGTTACCACATCCCTTTTATTGAGGCCACAATGACCTACCACACACCTCTATGGAGGCAACAAACAAAACAATACTCCACTATGGAGATCATTATTTCTTACAAAAATCCTCTATGGAGGCCACAACTACTTACCACATTCACTTATAGAGGCCTTTATTACTTACCACGCTCTATTGTGGGGACCACAACTCCTTACCACACTGTTATATGGAGGCCACAATTGCTTACTATACTCCTCTATGGAGGTCAGCATTAATACCACACTCCTCTATGGAGGCCACAATTACTTACCACGCTCCTCTATGGAGGTCAGCATTAATACCACACGCCTCTATGGAGGTCAGCATTAATACCACACTCCTCTATGGAGGCCACAATTACTTACCACACTCCTCTATGGAGGTCAGCATTAATACCACACTCTGCTATGGAGGTCAGCATTAATACCACACTCCTCTATGGAGGCCACAAAAAATACCACACTCCTCTATGGAGGCCACAATAAATACAACACTCCTCTATGGAGGCCACAATAAATACCACACTCCTCTATGGAGGTCAGCATTAATATCACGCTCCACTATGGAGGCCACAATAAATACCACAACTCTCTATGGAGGTCAGCATTAATACCACACTCCTCTATGGAGGCCACAATAAATTCTAAACTCCTCTATGGAGGCCACAATTACTTACCACACGCCTCTATGGAGGTCAGCATTAATATCACCCTCCACTATGGAGGCCACAATAAATCCCACACTCCTCTATGGAGGTCAGCATTAATACCACACTCCTCTATGGAGGCCACAATTACTTACCACCCTCCTCTATGGAGGTCAGCATTAATATCCCCCTCCACTATGGAGGCCACAATAAATCCCACAACTCTCTATGGAGGTCAGCATTAATACCAAACTCCTCTATGGAGGCCACAATAAATACCACACTCCTCTATGGAGGCCACAATTACTTACCACACTCCTCTATGGAGGCCACAATACATACCAAACTCCTCTATGGAGGCCACAATTACTTACCACACTCCTCTATGGAGGCCACAATACATACCAAACTCCTCTATGGAGGCCACAATTTCTTACCACACTCCTCTATGGAGGCCACAATACATACCAAACTCCTCTATGGAGGCCACAATTTCTTACCACACTCCTCTATGGAGGCCACAATACATACCAAACTCCTCTATGGAGGCCACAATTACTTACCACACTCCTCTATGGAGGCCACAATAAATACCACACTCCTCTATGGAGGTCAGCATTAATACCACACTCCTCTATGGAGGTCAGCATTAATACCAAACTCCTCTATGGAGGCCACAATACAAACCACACTCCTCTATGGAGGTCAGCATTAATATCACGCTCCACTATCGAGGCAACAATAAATACCTCACTCCTCTATGGAGGCCAGCATTAATACCAAACTCCTCTATGGAGGTCAGCATAAATACCACACTCCTCTATGGAGGTCAGCATTAATACCACACTCCTCTATGGAGGTCAGCATTAATATCACGCTCCTCTATGGAGCCCACAATAAATACCACACTCCTCTATGGAGGCCACAATAAATACCACACTCCTTTATGGAGGTCAGCATTAATACCACACTCCTCTATGCAGGCCACAATAAATACCACACTCCTCTATGCAGGCCACAATAAATACCACACTCCTCTATGGAGGTTAGCATTAATACCACACTCCTCTATGGAGGTCAGCATTAATACCACACTCCTCTATGGAGGCCACAATAAATACCCACTCCTCTATGGAGGCCACAATAAATACCACATTCCTCTATGGAGGCCACAATTACTTACTACACTCCTCTATTGAGGCCAGAATTACTTACCACTTTCCCTTATAGAGGTCTTTATTACTTACCACACTCGCCTATAGAAGCCACTATAATGTTTTGCTGCAGTCTACACGATTCCAACATAAGTTCACACTCGTTTCTGTAAGTTTTACCATCTGATCCACATAGCTTGGCTTCCTGGTTCTGTAATATATGGAACTCGCCTACAGCAAGTGCTTCATTTGTTTGAAAACCTGCCTTATATGACCATCCTACATTTAAGCCCATCCCATTTGTATGAAAAACACAACTATACAACAATTTACTTTTTTTAAGACCCTTCTTGTGTGACAACCTGCCTCCTAAAATTACCTTATATATATATGTATTATATATATGTAAATCCCTTGTCTCACCTAACATCTGCCAGAAATATCCATTCTGTTATTATAGCCATTTTATTTTTCACTTACATGTGACTACTTCTTTTGAATAGCTATGCAGCCTTTACATAATACACACTCTTTTTCAAATCAAAGGTAGCAGTACTAGTGTACAGTAGCGTACAGTGAGCATTGGTGATATTTTTGTACAATGAATAACTCCTGTAATATTACATGTATCAAAACTTAAAAACAAAATCAGCACTAAAATTGGATGAAGTGGACTATGTGGGATTCAGTTAAAAAAAAAAAATTGGTTTGAGACTACATTTTTGGCCATTTACAAATCTGTGTCTACACAACAAAAGTTGTATGACTACCAGTCAAGTCAGTATCAGGTTATGTATATAGAGGATGTGGTATGACTACCAGTCTAGCCAGTATCAGGTTGTGTATATAGAGGATGTGGTATGACTACCAGTCTAGCCAGTATCAGGTTGTGTATATAGAGGATGTGGTATGACTACCAGTCTAGCCAGTATCAGGTTGTGTATATAGAGGATGTGGTATGACTACCAGTCTAGCCAGTATCAGGTTGTGTATATAGAGGATGTGGTATGACTACCAGTCTAGCCAGTATCAGGTTGTGTATATAGAGGATGTGGTATGACTACCAGTCTAGCCAGTATCAGGTTGTGTATATAGAGGATGTGGTATGACTACCAGTCTAGCCAGTATCAGGTTGTGTATATAGAGGATGTGGTATGACTACCAGTCTAGCCAGTATCAGGTTGTGTATATAGAGGATGTGGTATGACTACCAGTCTAGCCAGTATCAGGTTGTGTATATAGAGGATGTGGTATGACTACCAGTCTAGCCAGTATCAGGTTGTGTATATAGAGGATGTGGTATGACTACCAGTCTAGCCAGTATCAGGTTGTGTATATAGAGGATGTGGTATGACTACCAGTCTAGCCAGTATCAGGTTGTGTATATAGAGGATGTGGTATGACTACCAGTCTAGCCAGTATCAGGTTGTGTATATAGAGGATGTTGTATGACTACCAGTCTAGCCAGTATCAGGTTGTGTATATAGAGGATGTGGTATGACTACCAGTCTAGCCAGTATCAGGTTGTGTATATAGAGGATGTGGTATGACTACCAGTCTAGCCAGTATCAGGTTGTGTATATAGAGGATGTGGTATGACTACCAGTCTAGCCAGTATCAGGTTGTGTATATAGAGGATGTGGTATGACTACCAGTCTAGCCAGTATCAGGTTGTGTATATAGAGGATGTGGTATGACTACCAGTCTAGCCAGTATCAGGTTGTGTATATAGAGGATGTGGTATGACTACCAGTCTAGCCAGTATCAGGTTGTGTATATAGAGGATGTGGTATGACTACCAGTCTAGCCAGTATCAGGTTGTGTATATAGAGGATGTGGTATGACTACCAGTCTAGCCAGTATCAGGTTGTGTATATAGAGGATGTGGTATGACTACCAGTCTAGCCAGTATCAGGTTGTGTATATAGAGGATGTGGTATGACTACCAGTCTAGCCAGTATCAGGTTGTGTATATAGAGGATGTGGTATGACTACCAGTCTAGCCAGTATCAGGTTGTGTATATAGAGGATGTGGTATGACTACCAGTCTAGCCAGTATCAGGTTGTGTATATAGAGGATGTGGTATGACTACCAGTCTAGCCAGTATCAGGTTGTGTATATAGAGGATGTGGTATGACTACCAGTCTAGCCAGTATCAGGTTGTGTATATAGAGGATGTGGTATGACTACCAGTCTAGCCAGTATCAGGTTGTGTATATAGAGGATGTGGTATGACTACCAGTCTAGCCAGTATCAGGTTGTGTATATAGAGGATGTGGTATGACTACCAGTCTAGCCAGTATCAGGTTGTGTATATAGAGGATGTGGTATGACTACCAGTCTAGCCAGTATCAGGTTGTGTATATAGAGGATGTGGTATGACTACCAGTCTAGCCAGTATCAGGTTGTGTATATAGAGGATGTGGTATGACTACCAGTCTAGCCAGTATCAGGTTGTGTATATAGAGGATGTGGTATGACTACCAGTCTAGCCAGTATCAGGTTGTGTATATAGAGGATGTGGTATGACTACCAGTCTAGCCAGTATCAGGTTGTGTATATAGAGGATGTGGTATGACTACCAGTCTAGCCAGTATCAGGTTGTGTATATAGAGGATGTGGTATGACTACCAGTCTAGCCAGTATCAGGTTGTGTATATAGAGGATGTGGTATGACTACCAGTCTAGCCAGTATCAGGTTGTGTATATAGAGGATGTGGTATGACTACCAGTCTAGCCAGTATCAGGTTGTGTATATAGAGGATGTGGTATGACTACCAGTCTAGCCAGTATCAGGTTGTGTATATAGAGGATGTGGTATGACTACCAGTCTAGCCAGTATCAGGTTGTGTATATAGAGGATGTGGTATGACTACCAGTCTAGCCAGTATCAGGTTGTGTATATAGAGGATGTGGTATGACTACCAGTCTAGCCAGTATCAGGTTGTGTATATAGAGGATGTGGTATGACTACCAGTCTAGCCAGTATCAGGTTGTGTATATAGAGGATGTGGTATGACTACCAGTCTAGCCAGTATCAGGTTGTGTATATAGAGGATGTGGTATGACTACCAGTCTAGCCAGTATCAGGTTGTGTATATAGAGGATGTGGTATGACTACCAGTCTAGCCAGTATCAGGTTGTGTATATAGAGGATGTGGTATGACTACCAGTCTAGCCAGTATCAGGTTGTGTATATAGAGGATGTGGTATGACTACCAGTCTAGCCAGTATCAGGTTGTGTATATAGAGGATGTGGTATGACTACCAGTCTAGCCAGTATCAGGTTGTGTATATAGAGGATGTGGTATGACTACCAGTCTAGCCAGTATCAGGTTGTGTATATAGAGGATGTGGTATGACTACCAGTCTAGCCAGTATCAGGTTGTGTATATAGAGGATGTGGTATGACTACCAGTCTAGCCAGTATCAGGTTGTGTATATAGAGGATGTGGTATGACTACCAGTCTAGCCAGTATCAGGTTGTGTATATAGAGGATGTGGTATGACTACCAGTCTAGCCAGTATCAGGTTGTGTATATAGAGGATGTGGTATGACTACCAGTCTAGCCAGTATCAGGTTGTGTATATAGAGGATGTGGTATGACTACCAGTCTAGCCAGTATCAGGTTGTGTATATAGAGGATGTGGTATGACTACCAGTCTAGCCAGTATCAGGTTGTGTATATAGAGGATGTGGTATGACTACCAGTCTAGCCAGTATCAGGTTGTGTATATAGAGGATGTGGTATGACTACCAGTCTAGCCAGTATCAGGTTGTGTATATAGAGGATGTGGTATGACTACCAGTCTAGCCAGTATCAGGTTATGTATATAGAGGATGTGGTATGACTACCAGTCTAGCCAGTATCAGGTTATGTATATAGAGGATGTGGTATGACTACCAGTCTAGCCAGTATCAGGTCATGTATATAGAGGATGTGGTATGACTACCAGTCTAGCCAGTATCAGGTCATGTATATAGAGGATGTGGTATGACTACCAGTCTAGCCAGTATCAGGTTGTATATATAGAGGATGTTGTATGACTACCAGTCAAGCCAGTATCAGGTTATGTATAATATAGAGGATGTTGTATGACTACCAGTCTAGCCAGTATCAGGTTATGTATATAGAGGATGCTGTATGACTACCAGTGAAGCCAGTATCAGGTTATGTATATATAGAGGATGTTGTATGACTCCCATTCTAGCCAGTATCAGGTTGTGTATATAGAGGATGGGGTACGCCAACCAGTCAAGCCAGTATCAGGTTATGTATATAGAGGATGTGGTATGACTACAAGTCAAGCCAGTATCAGGTTATGTATAATATAGAGGATGTTGTATGACTACCAGTCTAGCCAGTATTAGGTTTTGTATATAGAGGATGTTGTATGACTACCAGTGAAGCCAGTATCAGGTTATTTATATATAGAGGATGTTGTATGACTACCAGTCAAGCCAGTATCAGGTTATGTATAATATAGGGGATGTTGTATGACTACCAGTCTAGCCAGTATCAGGTTGTATATATAGAGGATGTGGTATGACTACCAGTCTCGCCAGTGTCAGGTCATGTATATAGAGGATGTGGTATGACTGCCAGTCTAGCCAGTGTCAGGTTATGTATATATAGGATGTGGTATGCCTACCAGTTTAGCCAGTATCAGGTTATGTAAATAGAGGATGTGGTATGACTACCAGTCAAGCCAGTATCAGGTTATGTATAATATAGAGGATGTTGTATGACTCCCAGTCTAGCCAGTATCAGGTCATGTATCTTGAGGATGTGGTATGACTACCAGTCTAGCCTGTTCCAGGTTTTGTATATAGAGGATGTGGTATAACTACCAGTCTAGCCAGTATCAGGTCATGTATATAGAGGATGTTGTATGACTACCAGTCTAGCCAGTATCAGGTCATGTATCTTGAGGATGTGGTATGACTACCAGTCTAGCCTGTTCCAGGTTTTGTATATAGAGGATGTGGTATGACTACCGGTAAAGCCAGTATCAGGTTATGTATATATAGGATGTGGTATGACTACCAGTCTAGCCAGTATCAGGTTGTGTATATAGAGGATGTGGTATGACTACCAGTCTAGCCTGTTCCAGGTTATGTTTATAGAGGGTGTTGTATGACTACCAGTCTAGCCAGTATCAGGTTGTGTATACATAGGATGTGGTATGACTACCAGTCTAGCCTGTTCCAGGTTATGTTTATAGAGGGTGTTGTATGACTCCCAGTCTAGCCAGTATCAGGTTATGTATATATAGGATGTGGTATGCCTACCAGTCTAGCCAGTATCAGGTTATGTATATATAGGATGTGGTATGACTACCAGTCTAGCCAGTACCAGGCTATGTATATAGAGGATGTTGTATGACAACCAGTCTAGCCAGTATCAGGTTATGTAAATAGAGGATGTGGTATGACTACCAGTCTAGCCAGTGTCAGGTTATGATAAAGAGGATGTTGTATGACTACAAGTCTAGCCAGTATCAGGTTATGTAAATAGAGGATGTGGTATGACTCCCAGTCTAGCCAGTGTCAGGTTATGTATATAGAGGATGTGGTATGACTACCAGTCTAGCCAGTATCAGGTTATTTATATAGAGGATGTTGTATGACTAGCAGTTTAGCCAGTATCAGGTTATGTATATAAAGGATGTGGTATGACTACCAGTCTAGCTAGTATCAGGTTATGTATATAGAGGATGTGGTATGACTAGCAGTCTAGCCTGTATCAGGTTATGTATATAAAGGATGTTGTATGACTACCAGTCTAGCAAGTATCAGGTTGTGTATATAGAGGATGTTGTATGACTACCAGTCTAGCCAGTATCAGGTTATGTATATAGGGGATGTTGTATAACTACCAGCCAACACTACCAAACAGTGTACCATTAACTGCCCATTAAAAACCCATGACCACATCACCATTAAAACCCCATTAAAAAGCCATTAAAACATGCAGTATTAATGGGTAGATTAATGGCAACCCATTAATAAAACAGTGATTTAATAGCCATTAACTGGAGGTTAATAATGGACATTACTTTCAGACCTTTATTAATGGGCATTAACGCTGGTGTGAGTTAATGCCCATTATTTACATGGGTAAATTAATAGGTAAATTGATGGCATTATCTAATGGCCATCAATGGTGGGGACCCACATTAATGGCCATGAAATAACCATCAAAATGTGCAGTATTTATGGCCCATTAACTTTTTGACTTAATTAATGGGCAGTTTAATGACCATTTTCATAAGGTAATGGCCATTACTATTTCACCAACCACCAATGTGTAATGGCCATGTATTTTTAAACTACAAAAACAATGAAAACCAATCATGGCCATTACATTTCTCATGGCCATGGGATTAGATAAACAGTGACATATATATTGTATTATATGCAAGAAACTCATATTAAGACAGGATACCTTGAATTGCACATTGATGTGTTATCCATGATGCATCATTTGACAAATTGACAAGACTAGTTCTATTCAAGGAACCTTTTTTTAATCAAAGTGCTAGCAGAAGTACAAGCTACATGTTAAGGAAACCCAACTACAAACATATATGTACTGGTATATTTAGTTGCAAAATTTAAAAAAAAATCCTTTTTCAGTGGCAGATGATTATAAGATCAAAGTGACTGCATACATTGTACATGTACATGTTTATTGGAGGAGGAAACCAGAATAAACTACCAAATGCAACAGGAAAATCCACTACATCCCAATTTTCAAGTAAACAGTTGCATTGTTCATAAATGACAATGTTGATTCAACATACAGCTGTCTGTCTGTCCCAGTATTAAATTCTCCAACGTGTATCGTTATACATGGACCTTTATAAAATTACAAAAGCTAATTTATTCTACATACATGGAAAAAATGTCCGTGGATATATAACAAATATACAAACACATATTCTTACTAGAGTGAGGGTACCTGATTTCGTACACTTTTGAAACAGATTTACATATTTTTTTACAAATACATCTCCAAGAAGATCGGATCTATTTTGACCTAAAAGATGTATGCAATCTGCGATATATTCGGTAATGTGACGTCATATGCGCAGAAATTTACTGCGCAGGGGATCTTTCTTTTACCATCATTTACTTCCACGTTTGGCGGCAGTTGGGGACGTGATTTCTTACACTCTACAAATGTGCTATTCTTATTAAAAAAAGCGAATATAAGTATATGTCGTATGAATTCAATATATTTCATTCAGATTTGTTGATTTTCATAGACCAGAAATATTTTTTAAACAAATTATGATTTGTTTATAAAAAGACGTGTCCTTTGTTGGTGGTGACATCGACCCTTTTCAGGCTTTTGTGGAAAAATATCAACTATATTGATACCTAACATATTCTAGTAGCAACTATTTCATTGGATGTTTTATAAAACAATTTCAATGCTCCAGAAGGTTTTTGAGGCCAAAAACAAACAAATATTTTAGATTAGTTTCGAAATAATGACTGTTCCCTACGATAGGTGCCCTGTCATTGAGAGGGCGTGTACGTTAAAAAAACGCCGTTATTTATTAATATTATATTTGAGCTTCTTTTTGATATCTTCTTGATGCAAATAGTAAAATATTTTTTTATATAAATGATCTCAAAGTGATCAGATGAAAATTGGCTAGATTCTGTTTTAAATAATGCTTTAAAGTTACATTGGGCCCATTCTGCAGACGACAGCTCGACTCGCTAGTTTCGTTTTGAAAACGAGGTTATTTGGGAAATCTATATTTAGCATCACCGAAGAAGGACAATAGCGGTGGTTTGCTGTTGGAGCAATTTTATGCCTCCATCGAAAGTGATCGGTTAAAAAATGAAAAATGAATATTTAGTGTACGAAATCACGTCCTGTACGAAATCACGTACCCTTACTCTAACACGATAGAGTAAGCTTATAAACACTGAACGAGAAATTAGATAAATTCAACTTAATTTGACCTGTCGTGTATGACAAATGTACAATATTAATCAATATTAATAACTAGAAGAAACATGTAACACATAATAATCTATTTTATATTGTTTCACAAGAGCCAAAAAAAAAAAAAAAAAAAAAAAAATCTTTCATGGCCATTATTATGAAAATTTACTTTAATTCCAAATATTCATGACCATTACATGCACCAAGTTAATGTCCATTATCATACCTCAAACAAAAACTAATGGCCTTGAAGTATTTCCCATGAGGATTTAATGCCCATTATAGTCATTTTTAATGGCTTTTTAATTGGTATTTCCATATGTTTGACAAAGTTAATGGGAATTCATTAACGGCCATAAGAAATTTCAAACATGAATTAATGGTGTGTTTTAATGGGTTCATGGGTTTTTAATGGGTTGTTAATGGGTTTTTACTGGATAACAGTTTAGAAGTGCAAGTCAGTATCAGGTTATGTATATAGAGGATGTTGTGTGACTACCAGTCTAGCCAGTATCAGGTTGTGTATATAGAGGATGTTGTATGACTTCCAGTCAAGTCAGTATCAGGTTGTGTATATAGAGGATGTTGAATGACTACCAGTCTACCCATTATCAGGTTGTGTATATAGAGGATGTTGTATGACTACCAGTCTAGCCTGTATACTGGGTTATGTATATAGAGGATGTTGTATGACTACCAGTCTAGCCATTAACAGGTTGTGTATATAGAGGGTGTTGTATGACTACCAGTCTAGCCTGTTGTATCAGGGTGTGTATATAGAGGATGTTGTATTTCTCCCAGTAAAGCCAGTATCAGGTTATGTATATCGAGGGTGTTGTATGACTACCAGTCTACCCATTATCAGGTTGTGTATCTAGAGGATGTTGTATGACTACCACTCTAGCCATTAACAGGTTGTGTATATAGAGGGGGTTGTATGACTACCAGTCTAGCCGGTATTAGGTTATGTATATAGAGGATGTTGGATGACTACCAGTCTAGCCTGTATTAGGTTGTGTATATAGAGGATGTTGTTTGGCTCCCAGTCTAGCCAGTATCAGGTTGTATATATAGAGGATGTTGTATGACTACCACTCTAGCCATTAACAGGTTGTGTATATAGAGGGGGTTGGATGACTACCAGTCTAGCCTGTATAGTGGGTTATGTATATAGAGGATGTTTTATGACTACCAGTTTAGCCATTAACAGGTTGTGTATATAGAGGGGGTTGGATGACTACCAGTCTAGCCTGTATCAGGTTGTGTATATAGAGGGGGTTGTATGACTACCAGTCTAGCCGGTAGTATCAGGTTGTGTATATAGAGGAAGTTGTATGACTACCAGTCTAGCCAGTATCAGATCATGTATATAGAGGATGTGGTATGACCACCAGACAAGCCAGTATCAGGTTATGTATAATATAGAGGATGTTGTATGACTAGCAGTCTAGCCAGTATTAGGTTATGTATATAGAGGATGTTGTATGACTAGCAGTCTAGCCAGTATTAGGTTATGTATATAGAGGATGTTGTATGGCTACCAGGCTAGCCATTAACAGGTTGTGTATATAGAGGGGGTTGTATGACTACCAGTCTAGCCAGTATCAGGGTGTGTATCTGAGTCTAGCCTGTATCAAGTTAAAAGATCAAAATATCTGAGTAAATTATAATTTTTGTTGTGATGTTTCAACTATATTCCTCTTTGTCACATGCATTACACACAATTGATTGAAAATCACCTGACTATAACATATATGGGGAAAAATTGAAGTCCTAAAAATGGGATTGGAGAAGAAAAAAAACCCATGGAGGAGTGGAGTATTTTGAAAATCTTTGAAGAAAAAAAAAGCTGTATGGCCTTGTATGATGGCCTTACCTGTTTACATGCCTTTGGGCAAACACATGTTGGGTTGTCGTTGCTCTTATCACAAACGGAATAGAACTCACACTGGTCCTGGTCGCCACACCCTCCTACAACAGAGGACACGAGTCCATCACATGCCAAACACAACTACATCACTACCCAGCATTGTACAATGTTTAAAGGGGGAAACCTTACCTTGCCAATCCACCCTCCGCCGATGGACTACAACCAATACAGGAAGTCATTATGTCACAGGCTCGCATCACAGTATAACATCCACTTCTTATTGGATAAATATTTAATCATTATCGAAGTCAGCAAAACAAATTATATCAGCAATTGATTTGTAGTAAAAAATGCAGAGATGATAACAATGAGTAACCACAAGATTGTAGTAAAAGAATCTCTCCAGCATCTAAATACAATGTATATGGATGAGAAACCATTATGTTTAGAGTTAGCTGCAAAACTGGTGGATGTTTATTGAATTCAGGTACCATACTTTATTATCTTCTCATAAATGAACTTAATTAAACAAAGAATTATGAAACTTTATTGTGGACAGTATCATAAACCAAATATATGTCCTACAGGACAAGCTTAGAGTGTTCAATCATGATGCCATTCGATGTAAACAACTACATCATGTTTATACTCCAGTTAATCAATGGACCATAAGATTCTGTAACATGTATATCTCAACTATGAACTAGGTTATGTCAAAATCTGAAATAATTACCAAGTTTTGTGTTTGTATTGATAGAACTACTTAGTAGAATCCAGGCTGATGTTCCTACTTTATTTATTCAAATAGTTTGCCGTATATCATTAACAATCATGAGAAGCCCTATAACTAAGTTTCTATTACATCTAGAAGGAAATAACTTGTAGAGTTTATAATTTCAAGCTACGAATATAACATAACCTATTAATGTTTTTGTGAACAAAATAACATCTCTTATTGATAATGAAGGTGCGCTGAAATCATGCATCATAGCACTCACACATAGAACAAATCAACAGCCCTTTGACTCTTAAGTTGTGTCTGCAGCTACAGGCATAATGGAACTGGGTATTGGTGATCATTTTGACCAGGTTTCAGTCGTCATGGAGTGACAGAAGAATTAAGCTTATGTCTTTGAACATTTATGGGTGAAATTCAAAAGTTGTTTGTGAAAGTGTATCAGGAGCTCTTTTTGGCCAACACTACCAAACCGTTGTTCTATTTTTGCTGATAAAGAGGTGTTAACCTTTCTGTTTTTACTATAAAAAAAAATTGAAAACTGATCACTTCTGAGAATAACAGGATTATGTGCTGTAGACAAGTCAAGACTAAATGCCCAAGAAATGTACAGAGCACTACACGTCATATTTCTATATTCCTTTAGGAATCAGTATAAACCAGGGATGCAAACTGAGTAAGGTACTTGTTGTAAAATGATGACAAACATATTTAGTTTACAACATGAATGATTTTTTAAAAATATGATCTTTGTAGCAATTACAGTTGCCATTAGATATGGACAAAACAAGTTTCTACATAAATGTTTTGAAAGTTGACCTCTTTTTCACATTATTATTTTTTTAATCCAACCCTTATGCCCACGTATAGCTACACTCTTTTTAAATACAATATTTAACCAATTGGTTTAGTGGTGCTTCAGGCCAAATCTGGTTGTAATGTTTTATCTGCCATTCAGGAAGGAGGAGGCTTCTAGAGGAAAAAACAGTGGATAGATGGGGGATCCCACACAACAGTAACTTCTGCAGGAATAAAGTTTCCTTGATTTGATTTATTAGTAAAACCCATTATACTTACTACATCGGCCTTGGTGCCAGGTCTGTATGTCGGCCCGCTCATCACAGTTCGTGAGGCGGAGCTTACACTCATTAGGGTACGTCCTTCCATCTGTTCCACATACCTGGAAAAACAGTTACTGGGTGAGAAATATATAATACGTACTACATATTTCTCATCACTGAATCAACCAATTAAGTTTTTCAAAGCATACACCAAGGTCATTCATTTGAACAAGTTAGTAGCCATTCATCCTAGTCTGCTACTGACCAAATATCAACATCCTGGGCATTTTGGTTATTCAGAAGAAGTTGTTTAAAGTTTTTTTTTAGACATTTGACCCATGTGACCTTGAATATTAGTGAAGGTCATTCATTTGAACAAACTTGGAAGCCCTTCATCCCAGCATGCTACTGACCAAATATCATCACCCTGGGCATTTCGGTTATTCAGGACAAGTTGTTTAAATTTTTTAACATATTTGACCCCTGTGACATTGAATACAGGTGAAAGTAATTTATTTGAACAAATTTAGTAGCCCTTCATACCGGCATGCTTCTGGCCAAATATCACCATATTGGTCCTTTTGTTTCATAAGAAGTTGTTTTAAAAACTTTTAAGACAATTGACCCCTGTGACCGTGAATATGAGTGAAGGTCATTCATTTGAACAAACTTGGTGGCCCTTCATCTGCGCATGCTACTGGCCAAATATCATCACCCTGAGCATTTTAGTTATTCAGAAGAAGTTGTGGAGAGTATAATTGCAATGCAGATATCCAAAGATTACTTTTCAGCATTTTTGAGAAAAAAATAAACTATACTGACTTAATATCATATTACATACTGGTTCAAATTCTTCAGAGCAGACAGGACATTCACAGATGGGTTGTCCTCCCCTCATCTGACAAATAGCATCGTTATGACAAGTGTAACCTCGACACGATATCTCTCCTTTTCCTGTAAAAACCAAACCAAACATTACAACAAACTGACTTTCGTCAATATTTTTCCGGAGGACAAGTTCATCTGTTTTAAAGAAGTTTAGAACATAGTACATGCAATGAATCTGGATGATCTTGAATCCACTACTACTACACTGCGATATACTTACGAATCATGCTGAGTTAAACCTTACAGATCAAAGTCAATTTATTAATGTTGCACATACAGATTCATGACAGAACCCATTGTCACAACTGGGAAATTGGGAAAAGAAATAAATGCTTTTTTATACCAAGGGATGTAAGAAAGGTAAACTCAACCCTCCATATTTTCAAATTGGTGCAAACTCCTTATCTTACAGCCCTGACCATGAGTGAATGTTAACATATATTGACATTAGTGCCAATTTGACAATGTAGGGAGCCTCTGTGATGTCCAGAGAAATGCAGAGATCATCTTGGAATTTATAAAGAAGTACAAAAAAGAAATTCATTGTAAAACCTTCTAAAATTATGGGGTACCACGCCCGAGGACAACTAGTAGGCAGTGACTTACCACAGGGCCCGTGATGAGATAGTACAACATTCTTTTTCTGGAGACATGACTCTCGCCTCAGATCACACTCGTTGTCATATGTGTAGCCATCAGAGCCACACACTTGTTGCAGGACCAGCTCACAAGGTGAAGGACACTGACATTTTGCAAGGCCATTCTTGTTGATACTACATTCTTGACCGAATCCACACGTTATTTTTCTACAGGGGTTAGCGCCTGAAAATTCATAAAGAGAAACAATGCTTGTTTGTCCTTTAGTTATTTCCCCTCATTTCTAAAACAACATTCTTCAGTGTATTCTACATGCAATGCTTCATGCTCTTATCAAACTATTTTTTGAAGTAATTAAGCAAACTTCTCCTCTTTTGGTAATTTCAAAATTAAATTCTACATAATAAAACAAATATACATAGCACAACAGGTTTCCTTTAAACTGCTGTCAATAATATAATATTTCCCTAATACTTTTCACAGATGTAAATATCTATTCTTTGGGCTGAGCCAAGAGGGTTTTTTTTGTGTAAAACTTACCAAACCTGTTTTTGAATTGATAAATGTTACAAAACCACATATAAGTAATCATTATATATACAAACAAAACAGATTTGATGATGTGTATGTATTCTGAAACCATCATCCTTTAAGAACTCCCTTGACAGAAAGATATGAAATGTTTCCCTTAGATAAGTCAGTAGACTTAAGTTTTTTATGTGGCCACATTATATACAACAAATTGGCATCAAAATTATATTGATTGCATCAATCATTTCAAAAAATTGATACAACACTCTATTATTCAATCGCATTCTAACTAATACAGCATGATAATGATATTCAATGTCTGTTTCCAAAACAATCTATTATTTTTCATATTTTAGAAAATTAGATATATTTTCACAAACTTTTAAATGAAATTTTCATCAGCAAACTTAATGTTTTTGTTGAGGTAAATACTATCTATCATTGACCTAAACTGTTGTTGTCGCTGCTGATGGATTGCCACTGGTGGTGGACCATGGGCTACCGAGGTGAACTACTACACAAGGTCAATGTCACTACTGGTAGACCATAGGTCACCTCGGTATTACTACACAAGGTCAATGTCACTACTGGCAGACCATAGGTCACCTTGGTATTACTACACAAGGTCAATCTCACTACTGGTAGACCATAGGTCACCTTGGTATTAATTCACAAGGTCAATGTCACTACTGGTAGACCATAGTTCACCAAGGTATTACTACACAAGGTCAATGTCCCTACTGGTAGACCATAGGTCACCTTGGTATTACTACACAAGGTCAAGGTCACTACTGGTAGACCATAGGTCACCTTGTTATTACTACACAGGGTCAATGTCACGACTGGTAGACCATAGGTCACCAAGGTATTACTACACAAGGTCAATGTCACGACTGGTAGACCATAGGTCACCGAGGTATTACTTCAGAAGGTCAATGTCACTACTGGTAGACCATAAGTCACTGAGGTATTACTACACAAGGTCAATGTCAAGACTGGTAGACCATAGGTCACTGAGGTATTACCTCAGAAGGTCAATGTCACTACTGGTAGACCATAGGGCACCAAGGTATTACTACACAAGGTCAATGTCACGACTGGTAGACCATAGGTCACCTTGGTATTACTTCACAAGGGCAATGTCACTACTGGTAGACCATAGGTCACCTTGGTATTAATTCACAAGGTCAATGTCACTACTGGTAGACCATATCTCACCAAGGTATTACTACACAAGGTCAATGTCACTACTGGAAGACCATAGGTCACCTTGGTATTACTACACAAGGGCAATGTCACTACTGGTAGACCATAGGTCACCTTTGTATTACTACACAAGGTCAATGTCACTACTGGTAGACTATAGGTCACCTTGGTATTACTACACAAGGTCAAGGTCACTACTGGTAGACCATAGGTCACCTTGTTATTACTACACAAGGTCAATGTCACTACTGGTATACTATAGGTCACCTTGGTATTACTACACAAGGTCAATGTTACTACTGGTAAACCATAGGTCACCTTGTTATTACTACACAGGGTCAATGTCACGACTGGTAGACCATAGGTCACCAAGGTATTACTACACAAGGTCAATGTCACTACTGGTACACCATAGGTCACCTTGTTATTACTACACAGGGTCAATGTCACGACTGGTAGACCATAGGTCCCCTTGGTATTACTACACAAGGTCAATGTCACTACTTGTAGACCATAGGTCACCTTGGTATTACTACACAAGGGCAATGTCACTACTGGTAGACCATAGGTCACCTTTGTATTACTACACAAGGTCAATGTCACTACTGGTATACTATAGGTCACCTTGGTATTACTACACAAGGTCAATCTCACTACTGGTAGACCATAGGTCACCTTGGTATTAATTCACAAGGTCAATGTCACTACTGGTAGACCATATCTCACCAAGGTATTACTACACAAGGTCAATGTCACGACTGGTAGACCATAGGTCACCAAGGTATTACTACACAAGGTCAATGTCACGACTGGTAGACCATAGGTCACCGAGGTATTACTTCAGAAGGTCAATGTCACTACTGGTAGACCATAGATCACCAAGGTATTACTACACAAGGTCAATGTCACGACTGGTAGACCATAGGTCACCGAGGTATTACTTCAGAAGGTCAATGTCACTACTGGTAGACCATAGGTCAACTTGGTATTACTACACAAGGTCAATGTCACTACTTGTAGACCATAGGTCACCTTGGTATTACTACACAAGGTCAAGGTCACTACTGGTAGACCATAGGTCACCTTGTTATTACTACACAGGGTCAATGTCACGACTGGTAGACCATAGGTCCCCTTGGTATTACTACACAAGGTCAATGTCACTACTGGTAGACCATAGGTCACCTTGGTATTACTTCACAAGGTCAATGTCACTACTGGTAGACCATAGCTCACCAAGGTATTACTACACAAGGTCAATGTCACTACTGGTAGACCATAGGTCACTGAGGTGTACACTAGTGACAGGGCAATGTAGGGGGTGATATGACTTAGTGACATGGCAATGTATGTGAGGTAATATGGCAAGTGACAGTACAATGCAGGGAGGTAATATGACTAGTGACAGAGCAGTGTAGGGGAGGTAATATGACTAGTGACAGAGCAATATAGGGGAGGTAATATGACTAGTGACAGAGCGTGAAGGGGAGGTTTTATGACTTGTGACAGAGCAACCTAAAGGAGATAATAGGACCAGTGACAGAGCAATGTTGGGGAGGTAATATGACTAATGACAGAGCAATGTTGGGGAGGTTATATGACTAATGACAGAGCAATGTTGGGGAGGTTATATGACTAGTGACAGAGCAATTTAGGGGAGGTTATATGTCTAGTGACAGAGCAATGTAGGGGAGGTAATTTGACTTGTGACAGAGCGTGAAGGGGAGGTTTTATGACTTGTGACAGAGCAACCTAAAGGAGATAATAGGACCAGTGACAGAGCAATGTTGGGGAGGTTATATGACTAGTGACAGAGCAATGTTGGGGAGGTTATATGTCTAGTGACAGAGCATTAAAGGGGAGGTAATAGGACTAGTGACAAAGCAATGTGGGGGAGGTATTATCACTAGTGTCAGAGCAATGTGGGGGAGGTTGTATCACTAATGACAGAGCAATGTAGGAGGTAAAATGACTAGTGACAGTACAAAGTAGGGAGTAATATGACTAATACTAGTACAATGTAGGGAGTAATATGACCAGTAACAGAGCAATGTAGTGCATGTAATATTACTGGTGACAGAGCAATGCAGGGGAGGTTATATGACTAGTGACAGAACAATGAAGGGGAGGTAATATGACTAGTGACAGAGCGTGTAGGGGAGGTTATATGACTTGTGACTGAGCAACGTAAAGGAGGTAATAGGACCAGTGACAGAGCAATGTTGGGGTGGTAATAGGACTAGCAACCGAGCAATGTTAGGGAGGTAATAGGAATAGTGACAGAGCAATGTAGGGGGTAATATGACTAGTGACAGAGCAATATAGGGGAGGTAATATGACTAGTGACAGAGCGTGTAGGGGAGGTTATATGACTTGTGACAGAGCAACGTAAAGGAGGTAATAGGACCAGTGACAGAGCAATGTTGGGGAGGTAATAGGACTAGCAACCGAGCAATGTTAGGGAGGTAATAGGAATAGTGACAGAGCAATGTAGGGGAGGTTATAGGACTAGTGACAGAGCAATGTAGGGGAGGTAATAGGACTAATGACAGAGCAATTTAGGGGGTAATATGACTAGTAACAGAGCAATGTTGGGGAGGTTATATGACTAGTGACAGAGCAATTTAGGGGAGGTTATATGTCTAGTGACAGAGCAATGTTGGGGAGGTTATATGGCTAGTGACAGAGCATTGAAGGGGAGGTAATAGGACTAGTGACAGAGCATTGTTGGGGAGGTAATATGACTAGTGACAGAGCAATGTAGGGGAGGGAATATGACTAGTGACAGAGCAATGTTGGGGAGGAATTATGACTAGTGACAGAGCAATGTTGGGGAGGGAATATGACTAGTGACAGAGCAATGTAGGGGAGGTAATAGGGCTAATGACAGAGCAATTTAGGGGGTAATATGACTAGTAACAGAGCAATGTTGGGGAGGGTATATGACTAGTGACAGAGCAATGTTGGGGAGGAATTATGACTAGTGACAGAGCAATGTTGGGGAGGAATTATGACTAGTGACAGAGCAATGTTGGGGAGGCAATATGACTTGTGACAGAGCAATGTTGGGGAGGGTATATGACTAGTGACAGAGCAATGTTGGGGAGGAATTATGACTAGTGACAGAGCAATGTTGGGGAGGCAATATGACTTGTGACAGAGCAATGTTGGGGAGGGTATATGTCTAGTGACAGAGCAATGTTGGGGAGGTTATATGTCTAGTGACAGAGCAATGTAGGGGGTAGTATGACTAGTGACAGAGCAAAGTAAGGGAGGTAATATGACTAGTGACAGAGCAGTGGAGGGGAGGTAATATGACTAGTGACAGAGCATTGGAGGGGAGGGAATATGACTAGTGACAGAGCAATGTTGGGGAGGCAATATGACTTGTGACAGAGCAATGTTGGGGAGGGTATATGTCTAGTGACAGAGCAATGTTGGGGAGGCAATATGACTTGTGACAGAGCAATGTTGGGGAGGTTGTATGA